CCACTTCTCAAGAATGACTGAATATACATTTGGGTTTGGAATGGCATGAGTAAATGACAACAGAATTGTTTTATTTGTGAGTTTGTCCTCCAACTGATAATTCTGTGTAAAACAGTGTAATAGCAACATGTATTTTTTTTCCAGAAAAAAAGCACGATTCTCTGCCTCATCAGACACAGCGTTTGGTTATTAAATCTTATCAGGGGAACAATAGAAATAGTATGTTGCTAATATTGTTCATGATTCAGTGCCCTAGCAAGGCTGAACATTATTCAGCTCTCTCTCTCTCTCCCTCGTTTACACTGCAGTTCTCTTTCTGCTCTGCTGCATGTCTGCCCTCTACTGTTCAGATATCATATTTATAGCCACATTGATATTTCACGCATCGCCTTTGGTTCATCAAGTCGAGTTGATCAAACGATTCATTTCTGAACAGTGCTCAAAACTGAAAGCTAGGATTGCACAGAAAAAACAACAGGATCTGATACTGTTGCCCAAGCCCCAGGTTGAAGAATCAGGTTTAGATTCAATCCAATTTCCTGACCTATACCGTTCGTGAGCTACGCCGTTCAACTTTGATTGACTAGCACGAAATACAGGCACGAACAAATATAGACAGACCTGAACAAGGAGAGAGTGATAAGACTACATTATTTGTGCTGTGAACCTGGGAATGTTTCAGTAAGTGGAAGTAAAGCTGCAGCGTTTATGAGCACAACAGGTTAAATATGATTCTTTTAAAAAGGTCGTCTACACCTTTATTGCCATCTGTCCCAGATGCTTTCTCAGTGGAACACACAGTGTCCATCTGAAAGTGAGTGTGTGATGATGGCTGCTGTCTGAAGCAGAACAGAAGTAATCACATGGAGCTTTTCTGCTCACAGAGCTTCAGTCTAGCTCGTCTTGAATTCTCGCTTTCTTTCTCTCTTCAATCATGCTCTAGAATGAGGTCTCTTATTTCACGAGAGGCTGACCACACTGATGAGGTCTGATAGGAGAGATCCCCCTGTGAGCTGAACCAAGAACTATCCCACCGTGCCTGCAGCATTGACGGTGACCATAGATCAGTGTCCCAAGGTAATGATTATAGTTCAATTATTGGGCTCGGTGACAAGTGTAATATTTATCACAATTTATCGACCGGACGCATGATGTGCAACGGAAACACATTGACTGAAAAGCAGCGCAGTTTTATAGATAGAAAGACAGCTCTTGTGTTTGTGCTCTTCAGGCACTATAGTGCTACAGTCAAGAATAATTGGAATCACTTTTTACTGCCAAAGCAAAATATACTTTATTTACCCAAGTATTTCAATTTTTCATGTTTGTACCTTATTGGCATGATTGAAATAAAATAGAAATAAAATATTTATATTATAATAATGTATTTTTAAATATTATTTTATATTTTAAATGTTTTTATTAGTATAAATAAAATGTTATTTATATTATAATAAATATTCATCCATTTTAATTAGAAAAACATTTAAATACACTCATTTCGATAAAATTATACTATTAATATTATAATAACAATGTATTTATTTTACGATTTAAAATAATAATAATTACTTTATATACATATAATAATAATAATGTATTTTCTACACTATTTTAAATATTTAAATATGTTAACAAATATTTAAATTAAATAAAAAGATGATGAGGATGATAATAATAGTAAGCTGCCTATAATGATAATGAAAATAATACTAACAGCGATCAGTATATAGTATTTGTATTATAATCAATTTATTATGAATTTATTTGTAATTCATTATTTGTAAATATTTAAATGAATACAGTTTAATTTAAATAATGATAATATTATATATAAAATAATGTATTTTAATTCACTTTTTAAAATAAAATAAAACACAATAATCATAATAATGTTTCAATATTTTTATTTTATTTATAATAATTACATGGTCAAATATTACTAACACGGTTTAATACATTTTACAAGAATTTTCTTTAAAAAGCAGTATAAAATAAATCTAGTTTGAACTTTCTAGTTTGATCTATTTCCAAGGTTTAAAAAAAATTGAAAGGTTGTTGATGTTTGTAGTTCAATGCAATTTGTAAAAAGACTTTCTGAAATGATTTGCCTTTGATATCTTGTGGTTTTGAAGGATACTAAACTAGAGCACTAGTCAAAGACACTCAATCAAAACTCCATAGGAGATAAAGGCTGCCTCTCCATCACAGTTAGGACCAAAAGTTACTTTCCTCAAGAACAAAGTGTTTCATTGTGAAACGCTTTCTAATGGAAGCCCTTTATTTTCAGTGAAGTCCTCTTATTTGTGAGTCTACAGGTGTGACCGTGACCTGAGCATATTTCTCTGCTGGTGGTCTTTAGACAGAAGGAATATCCCGTTGTTGTAAGAAGTTTTAGAGAGGCATACAGGATTACTGAGCAGGTTTGGGCTCAGAGCTCTCTATAGCCCTTATGTGTGTTCGGTCTGCAGGTCTCCTTCAAGCCACAGAGCTTTGAAGCTTTTACAGCGCTCCTGCAGCGAGGTTCAAAGCACAGCCCTCTTTCTCCTCTGCCTCCTTCATTACTCTGCTTCTTCAGTCCTCCTCTCACCCACTCATTCTATCATTAATAACTGGGTATGACTCCTGTGAAGCAGGGCCTTTGAATAATGAATAAGCTTTCCTCAATAGGAAATTCCATCCTATTGTCTTGAGCGCTTGAAACAAAGGTGGAGATGAAAGGACAATGTTACTGTGGGTAAATCTGTACTGGTTTCGGCTTAGTTTGTCAGCAGAGATACACGAAAATCTTAAAACATTAACAAGATTGGAAAGCTTTATAAAATAAAAGAAAAAGAGCTTTGATCTATTTAGTGGCATTGTCATTTTACATACTTTATTGGATAAATTAAATTGTACTTTTCCCAGTCATCAATGGAAATATGCATATTTATCATTTTAACATTTGGTGGGTGAATATAAAAATGCTAATTGGTTAACTTTAAGTTTATACCATTTACACAAAAAATGGTTTTGATCTTAATGGTCATTAACATAGATATATGTAAACAAAATTGAGTTACCATATACTTTATGAATAAAAGGTATATTTAACAAAACTAAACATTAAAATTGTAATGCACTTCGTTTACAATATTGTTTATTTTATTTCATGTGAATTAAATACAATTTTGATCTTGAAATGTATCTTAAGTTTTGATCTTAAAATACTGCAAAATATGTAAATATATAAATATGATCATTTATGATATGAAGTGTATACTATATTTAACAAAATAATACATAAACTTACAGTAAAATGTTGTTAAAATGGTTTATTTCGTAAAATAAAAGTGACCTCATAATGTGCAGTGGAAATGTTCACAGACGTGATACAGCAAATTTGTTTTACAGTATGTTTTATTCAGTTTATTGGATTATTTTAGTGTTACCCTAATGGTGTTTTGTGTTGGCGTGGATATAACTGTACTCTGTCTATACATATTTATCAGCCACCGTTCTTGTCCATGACCTACTTTAGTTGTTTAAATTGATTGGTATATTAACATTATCAGTTATCAAAATATGCAGATATGAGTTGTGTTACTGTATTTCTTACAGTAAATTTCCGGTAGCTGCAGCTGATGTGTGCTATGTAGGACACTGTAGATAAAAACTGGATTAATAAATCCTAAAAATAAAATATCTATTATATTTTCATGCTACATTTCTTTGGAAAATCCCTGTACCCTTTGCGAGTGAGTCAGAATGTGGAGCGTTGAAATATTTGAAGCGATGCTTGCAAAACAAAGTGAAAAAGAAACAAAGAGACTTAAAGAGAGCCACAAAATGATGGCCTAGTTCAACATCTGACAGTATGAATCATCATGTGCCCTACTTCTGTACTGGATCCATCTGCGAATCTGTCCTTTCCCCTCTGGGCGTCTTTCACACTGAAGACTCAACAGGGTTTCTGTCCCAATCATGACAAAAACTGAATGGAGTGAATGGTTGATTGATAATTTTGTGTAATTTGGCGATAATTATGTGAGGTATTCCCATAGACAGCAAGGTAACTACCACGTTAAAGTTCCAGAAAAGTACCAAGATGATCGACAAAGTAGTCCGTGTGACATCAGTGGTTCAACTGTAAAGTTACGAAGCTACGAGAATACTTTTTTGCACAAAGAAAACAAAAATAACGACTTCATTCGACACACGAGCGTGTGGCGGCGCTGACCCAGATCCGGCGTAAGGACGTCATCACGCCGGATCTGGGTCAGCGCCACCACACGCTCGCGTCATGGTACTGTCGTGAACGCTCGTCCAAAGTGGTGCAGTAGAGACGAAAATGTGGAATAAAGTTGTTATTTTTGTTTTCTTTGCGCAAAAAAGTATTCTCGTAGCTTCGTAACTTTACAGTTACAGTCGATCATCTTGGTACTTTTCTGGACCTTGAACGTGGTAGTTACCTTGCTGTCTATGGGAGGGTCAGAGAGCCCTCATATTTCATCAAAAATATCTTCAATTGTGTTCCGAAGATGAACGAAGGTCTTACGGGTTTCTAACAACATGAGGGTGAGTAATTAATGACAGAATTTTCATTTTTGGGTGAACTAACCCTTTAAGACTCCCTAAACAATGAGAACAATGAAATTAGGTTAATCATAGCAGTAAAGACACCTGACAATATACAGGTCAAGCATTAGTTCATTTGGCAGGTCACAGTAAAATGATATTAGACTGTGATCAGATTTCAATTCACGGCACCCAAAAATCCCCTTTTTCTGAATGAATTTGCATGACCCATTTTAGTTAGGTGCTTATTTTCAACATATAGACAACTTTTAAATAGGTATTTTCTACCTTTACAACATTTTACACTCACCTCTGTCACATTTTAATTGTGTATAATAGTTTTAAAAGGCCCAAATGCTATTTTCAAGCAATCTAATTCCATTTCCTTTGCAGATGTCATGATTTTATGCTACTAAGTAAGAATCCACTCAAGAGGACAGTGATTTGTTCTTGTACCAGCAGCCTTTATTCATATGAAGCATGCATTAATGGATGAATTACAAATATACATCTACTTTTAAGAGCTCAGCTTGCCATAGGAATTCTAAAGATACAAAGTGCAGAGCCAAGAACATAACTTCAGATCTAAAAATCAACGCTTTGCTGCACTCTCCTTCGGCTCACACTCATTCGAAATTGCTTTCATTTCCATTTCTTTATTTATTAAGTTGAACATGCAGAAGGAATATCTAATCTAACTCTGCTATTGCTTTAAAAGTGTTGATTTAAAAGGCATAAGTTTCATTGTAAATGCAGGGATGTTTTGGGCTGTGCATGAGTAGTCTTTAGATATGGGGGTGTCAAAATTGCATGAGGGTTAAGTAGAAAGAGTAGTCTTTAATAAATAACATATAACATTTTAGAAGGTATTAGGGACTGTCTTGAAGAGCTCCAAACCCTCCGCACACATTCGGATTGATTTCCTTTTTGTGTTTTACAGGTACCACAGTGTGAGCTCATTGGGATTGGATTCATTTGTTGGGTCAGTATTTTTAATGCACTTCAATTCGAAAACACAAAATCACAGAGAATTCATATTGCCTTATATATAAACTAAGGATTAAAGCTCTGATTTGGTTGTGCTTTTAACATGTATTCCCATTTAAGGTGTAGAGCTGATGTAGTGCACTGTTGCTCTTCTAAACCACATTGTGCTATGATTATTCACCAAGAAACACTATAGAAAATATCAAGATGTCCGAAACAGTTCTACGCTGAGCCCTGCTCAGCCCTCCAGCGGTGAGAGATCGTCCCGGCGGGACCGGCAGTCCTCTCTTGGAGCAGGGTGTCTCAGCTCACTGGGGCATTTTTGAAGGTGCGTTGTGCCAGTGTCTCTTGTAGAAAACTGCTCCCATTCCTACGATCATGATGCAGGCAAATGCCAGGATGCCCACAGCCACGCCGAGACCCACAGAGGAGTCTGAAGGTGTTTTCGTGCCGATTGTGACTCCTGCAAAACAAGGACATATGAGGTTAGAATTGAATGTAAGCTACAAACTAAAATAGCGAACTACACTACTGTTCAAAAGTTTCGTTTTAAAGTTTTCATTTTATTCAGCAATAAATGGGTCAAAAATTTTACGATTTCTATTTAAAAAAATACTATTCTTTTGAACCTTCTATTCATCAAAGAATCCTGAAGTAAAATGTATCATTATTTCATCAAAAATATTAAGCAGCACAATTGTTTTCAACATTGATATTAATAAGAAATGTGTCTTGAGCACCAAATCAGCAAATCAAAATGTGACACTGAAGACTGGAGTAATGGCTAGTGAAAATTCATATTCATATAGTAAATTAATTTAAATAATTAAAACATTTTTTTTTTTAATTTAAAATAATCAAATTATTTGGCTCAAAAAATAACTTACAACAACAAAACTAGAATGCAGTGTCAAAAACAGTGATAGACAGCAGTACTGTATGTTTATCTGTAAAAAAGATACATAATGCCTCACACAGACTTGAATTGATTTTTTCTTTTTTAACTAGTTAATTTAGATGATTTATCTGAACAAACTGATTCACTAAAATGAACATTCTACAAGAGAGCGCTTGATTGTTTTCTATGTTTGTTTAATTAAATTAGTATTTAGTTAAATTAGTTAACATTGCTACATTCAGGAAATGATTCCCAACACTGGAAAATATGAAGTGAATCTGGACAAATATTACATGCTTTATATTTGAAACAGTTGAAGCTCACCTTCCTCTTTTGTTGCCACCACTGAAATGAAATAAACAGAATAAAATCAGATCTGGAACTTAAATCTCAGCAGTGTTGGAGATCAATAATTCATTTTGTTTTCACAAAAGGGAAAGAACGTACCATTTTCTGCACGTATGACGATGGCTGGTGATGTGATGGTTCTGCTGTCTGTGACTCCATTTGGAGAAGGAGTGGTGGTCAAAGGCACAACGTCTCTCCTTTTTCGTTGGCCACATTGCTGTGGAAAGAGCCATAGAGCATGGTGAGTCTAAAAAGTGTCTTGGCCAGTGTTTGTCTCTGGGTAGGTGAACTGAATGTATATGTTGCTTTTTTTTTTGTTCAAAAATCCCCCCAAAATAGCAAAGCTTGGCAAAACCAATGTATATGGACAATGACAGAAAAAAACAAAACATACCCATCCCAAGCCAAAAGGTGTTTCTAATTTGTCTAGGCTTAGTTTATATCAATTATAATTAGCTAATTCATGGACAAATAATATGAAAGCGAAGTATAAGTTGAATGTTTTTACCCTAAATGTACTGCAGGTTGATATTTCACAGAGTCTTGTAATGCAGTGCAGATAGTATGTTGATACTGTCTGGTTCTGCTGCTCTGTGAAGCGGAAGGCCGAAAACGAGAACCGAGCAATTTGCATCTCCCCATTCACCAGCATTTTAGTGAGCCGATCACTGCCGCAACTGATCAAACAAATCATCAAATAGCAAATTATTCTCTCTCAGGCCCACCAAATACTATCGGACAGATTTTACAGTTTTATAAACAAGCTTACATACATGGTGCAGTGGTAATGTAACATGCCCATAGTATAGATCACAGTACCATAGTAAAGGCACAGTACTTTTTGGGTTAAAATACAACAAAAATCGAATAATCTTACGGCACAAAGAGGTTGAAGTAGCTCCTGGTGGTGGGGACAGTGGAAATGGAGGCATAGCATCTGTCCAGCAGCACAAAGTACCTGTGAAATACATAACAATCGTCGACTTTAATGCAAAATTTATTCATTTATTGCCATAATGATACTCAATGTAACAGGTCTTACTGGGAGGTCAAGTTGGTGGCTTCCACTTGCACAAACACATTAGTCCTCAGCTCAATACCGAGAGGAGGCATGACAAGAGGCTGGGTGTAGTTTATGTCCTGAGAAATGAAAAGAAATTCAGATAAATTAATATTTTATTTTTGTGTATGTCTCTAGCTGATCTGATCTATAGATGCATGTAGGTCCAGTTTAGGGAAAGACTTACACTGAAGAGTCTGAGATTCAGAGTGCTGATGAAACTGCCATTGTTGTCTTTTACTGCAATCGAGGAGGCCGACCTGTGAGAAGGCATAACTAGGTTAAAGTCTAGCTGAAACTGCCCACAATTACTCAATGTGGACAACTCTGAGACTAGAAGTGTGTATCTGTGTCTCTCTGTTGGGAATATGATATCGTCTTCCTGTCCCTTGAGGACAACAACAGGGATGGACCAATTGAATTTAACGTGTTCTTAGAAAGTGATACACCAAGACACTTATTCCCCAACGAGTTTTGTTCTTTTATCCTCAGTAAATGGATCTTAGACCTGGTATGCTATACCATAAAAGAAAATAAGCACTTACACATCCACTTGAGTGTTGTTGATCAGGTACTCCAGAGGATAGGCGCATGAGTAGTAGTACTTCAGCTCAGCGTTATACGTCACAGTGCCTGTTGTGATGTCTTTCGATCGTATAATTCCACTGATGTTGACCGTCTCGATGTTGGAGAAGTCTGAGAATACTCCTGTCCCTATACTCCTTATTGTCTGTGGAGAAACGGTAGGAATTAATTGTATTTAATGCCATAAAAACAGACTGATCATTTAGTTTTGACTTTGAATAATAAGTTAAGTTATATGATTTACTTTGATTTATAGCTATTACTCACAACAAAGTTGCTGCCGCAGGCATTGGTTGAGTTAATTGGAAACCTAAATCGGGCCACGGGAGGTAAAACGGTAGTATCAAGGGTCGCATGGCAGTCTGGGTTATTCAAGATGTGGTTGAGAATTAACTCTGATTCGTTGTAGCCGGTGTATATGACAGGACAGAATTTGATGGCCAGATTGATGTACTCCGTTCCACAGTCTACAGAGATGTCTGTGTACTCTGTCGTGGCAAGAACGACCAGATTAGTTGTGCAAAAAACTGTACGAACTCTTACTTGAGGCAAAAAACAACTGAATCGAATAAAAGTTTTCCAAGTTAATCAAATTGGACAGAATCACAAGCTTGAAAACACCCAAAGACATACATCAAAATAAGCTAATTCAAATAATTCTGATATTTTTATGATGTAAACAAGCAATTCATTTTTGTGTGATTCAGTCAGAAATGAAAACTATACCTGGACGTCTGTACTCTGATCCGCAGTCGCTCAGTGCTAACGGAAAGCTTTTATCGAATTTTGTAGCTAGGAGGAAGAGGAAAATGTTGAGGAGAATATCTTTCCTGTTGTTTGCTGAACGCGAACCTGTTCATGGAAGAAAATACACCATAATCAAAATCAGCTTGTCACCATCGGTATATCCAGGAGCTTAGCGCATATCCCACAGTTACACGTCCTAGGACATGTACGCACCTTGGATCATGTTTGCGGTTGGTTTGGGAATCCTCTGCCTGTGAGATCTTGTGAACTGTGGAGTCCCTTTATAGAGTGCTTTCTTTTGTGGGATAGGAATGAAATAAGGTCAGAGAGGTTTGGTGTGTGCACTGTTTGGGACCAGCCCTTTTGTGAATAAAGTCCCATAGTTGACCGCCTGAAGGCACTTGCTTAAACTCTACACAACATGGGCCTTCAAAGATATGCAGGTGACAATGGCCTGGTTTCTTTGTCTACTTACTTAAACATGGATATCCTTAGCATCTTAATACGAGACCTCACGGAGTAAGTGTCGTGCCCCCGAGGAGTAGAGACAATGCAGCAATGGCTCTTTTCAACTTAGTTTAACACTGTATGAAATGTCAGGGATCTTTATGTTGATCCAAAGGTAATCCTAGCAACACGATAAATAAGGATGATAAAGCAAACACACATGATTGACCGGAGGGAGTCTTAAGGATGTGACAATTTTGATTGAAAACCTGACAGGGGTAGGCAGTAATTTTTTGTTGTTGATTATCTCTGTTTTTCATGGATTGTCAGTTTCCATGGTAACATTGTTTTCTTTGGACAAGGTGTTCCCCGAAAACCACATGACTGTTTTAGCCATTGTTGTCTGATTTCTTCGAAATGATAAAGGAAACTACTCTTGACATATCAGAGGAAATATACTGAATATTATATTAACAAAACCTGAAATTGTAGAAGGTTTTCAGGGTTTGTCATAATCACAGGTATATTAAATAAAATGTAATAATTGTTTCCATAATATATTAAGGTCTATAATGAAAAACAACAATCTATCTATCTAACATAAAATATGTGTATTTGTGCTTTTTGTATGTTAATTTCTCATACAAGTATGTTGACAAAACTGTTGCAACAAATTACATAAGAATGATTTGGCAAACTGTTTACACACAAAATTCATTCTGCCAGCATTTCATAAATTAAGCCCACTGGGCTTTATTAGATAACTAATTAAATAGATCAGAAATCAGACAACATGATTACAGGGGTGAGTAAAACATTCATTATACACATCACAGTGGACTCCTGGGCTTTGTTTTGACTCATCCATTCACAGTAATATCTCAATCGAGTCTTGAGTCACTTACTGTGTTTAGTTTGGTTGATAGCTTGACACCTGAAAAAAGATACAAATAATACCAGATGTTCCCAATTAGTGCTTATTTGGTCACTTAACACTTATACACCAACCATTCTTATACCTGCTTTATTTGCAATCTGGTTTCTAATTGTACATTTTTAGTCAAGTCAGAGATCTCTGATCACATAAGCTGTGCCTTTTTCTTTTAACAGTTGATTGAAGGCCAGCCATTGAGTGTGTAAACACTGTTAAGTGGTGTGAAAAGGTCAGTGGATTACTCTGTAATGAGAAGGCTCTGCTTTAAGCTCCAAACTAATCACTTTGTTTCAGCGTTTTTTTCTTTTCGTTCTTAGTGGGATGAGCCACAGATCCAGATAAATCTCAGGTGAATCTGTGGAGAATCACAGATGGGTTTAATAAAGCTTAAGCGTAACCCCTGCCCATGTCACATGCCAGCAGTGTGATTTCTTCCTCCCAAACAGATTTTATATATATAGTTTAACAATTTTATAAATTGTTTTATGTAATTTATAAAACTCCTTTTTTAACACATTTTGTCTGTCATTAAGATCTAGAATTGCACTTTCTGTGTCAAAGGCTGAGCTTGTATGATTCGGGGTTTGTGCTCTTAGGTCACTTCCAAATCAAAAGAGCTAATCCTTATATTCTATGCTGACACTCAACCCTTCTTTATAGCAAATGAGGAGATTGTCAGATCAGGAAATTCATGTCAGGAACAAAGGTGGATTTTTATTTAAGAAGGGTATACTTATATGTCACTATAGAAACCATGCAGCTTTGAAACCAATACTATAATACTCTTACATAAAGCACATTGACGGTAAAATGGTACAGTAATAGTTTCAGAAGGAAATATCATTATGCTTTGATATATATATATATATATATATATACTATGGTATCTAAATGATTACCATGGTGTTAATATATGTTTTTTCCCCCTGAGAGTTCTGATGTCTTTGCCTTTACAACTCAGCTCAGGAGAGGAGGAATTATCCTCTGACGGATTGTTTGTTTTTCATATCCAGAGAAGACATTGTGGGTCCCATCCCTGCCCTTCTGTACCCAGAATTCTTCTGATTAAATTGAGCCATTCATTTATTCTGCCACAATCCCATTAATATTTGTCACTGATGTCACAGATAATAAGCCTGGACATCTTCAAAGGTCTGATATGAATACATGCTCTTTGTTTAGCTGGCATCATGGTGATTACTATCATTGTGAAAAGCTTTAAAAGCCTGCTTTCTTCAACAAGACAGCATTGAATATAATAGAACTGAGTAATGGATTGTGATCCCTGTGGGTTTTGTAATTACTACAGGAAAATCTGCAAACAAAATATTCAGACACACATCTGATTTACTTTATTGTTAAAAAAGAGGAAAGGAAAATCTACAAAGTAATACAAATGCGTGTTTGGGGGGTAATAACATGGGTTGTTAAATATAATTAAATTATCTTGGACATAAACTCCGGTGAAATATCTTTAATAAAAATAAAAGAGAAAAGCTAATACTAAATATTAGAGTATGTGAAACGAAGAGCTAAGACTTATTACTGTTCAGTGGGTATCACTGAGGCACATGAATACTAATGAGTAAAAACAAATACAATTAATTAAAACTAAAAATATCTTAAATAGTCTTCTCATCCACCTCAATCACATAGCATAGTGATCTAGGTTGCTGTTCGACTTAATTAAATTCGTTCCCTATGGTCTCTTTCTCAGCTCTTGTAACTCAAACTAATTATTGCAGAGAGTAATGTACTCGTAATCACTGGTGTCCCATGATCCTTTGTGCTGTTGTGATGAATAGACTCCTCACTTTCTGTCCTATAGCCTCTAATATTCTCACTGAACTAGAAATATGTGTTAGGTAGGTCTATTAGATACCTTTGCTTATGTTCTTCATGTAACTGATCTTAAACCCTGCAATAATGCAGCAAGGGGCTGAGGTATTAACTTTAAGTTACACTGCACCAACGGATCCGGATCAATTGACATTTCAAATTAAATACAAGTAAAAAACAGTCCGCTGCTCTGTTGATCAGTTCATTTACAAGTGCAATTAAATAAGGTTTGTAAAAACAACGTATTTATTCATGTTTGTGTTACACTGTGTAACTACGATCACTTTCAATGTATAATTTTAGTGTTTCGGGTTTGACAGAAACAAATTGTGGGGCTGTCGTGTAGTGGTGTATCAGTCACTGTAACTGATCTTAAACCCTGCAATAATGCAGCAAGGGGCTGAGGTATTAACTTTAAGTTACACTGCACCAACGGATCCGGATCAATTGACATTTCAAATTAAATACAAGTAAAAAACAGTCCGCTGCTCTGTTGATCAGTTCATTTACAAGTGCAATTAAATAAGGTTTGTAAAAACAACGTATTTATTCATGTTTGTGTTACACTGTGTAACTACGATCACTTTCAATGTATCATTTTAGTGTTTCGGGTTTGACAGAAACAAATTGTGGGGCTGTCGTGTAGTGGTGTATCAGTCATGTCTAAAAGTATGAAATAAATGGTGGGATAGTTAATCTAAAAATGAAGCTTCTGTAGATTCCAAACATGTGTGACTTACTTTCCTTTGCTGAACATAAAAGAAGATATTTTGAAATATATTTCAACTGTTGTTTTCCCATACAATGGGGTCCAAAACAACAGCATATAACTTTATGGATAAAAAATAGGGGTGTAACGATACATGCATTCGTAGCGAACCATCACGGTATGGACATCTCGGTTTGGTGCATGAGGCTTTACAACGAATACAGGCAATTCACCCTCAATCCAGAAGGGGGCGCCCGCGGTAACGCAACGCTGTTTGATAACCGCCAGCAGAAGAACAGCGACTGCCATGAGTTGCACACTTGAAAACAAAGCCCACTAGACAGTGACCATGTGCTGATTCTGACGCGTCTCTCACTGACAAAGAAGTATACTTTAAAGGCTTGCGCACTCAACTTTGTGCTCGTGTATCCTACCTCTCTCATTCGGCACAAATTCAAATATTCCATAATATTTCCATATTTGCGATGTATCTGAATGCAAAACTATTATTTATGATGTAAATTATAGGCTTTGTACTTCAGTCACATTCCAACGGTGACACAGAGGCAGGCGTGCTGATGTTTGGTTCACTGTATTTAATTTTTATAAAGTACCAACTGCGCTGTCAAGTTAGCAATGCTGGAACTGATATGTGTCTTTTTTTGTGTCTGTGTGCGCCGGCGCGATTACTTTAACTGTATCTTATACCAGCAGAATCAACTTAAAACACTCCGTCATTTATTGTCTTATGAATAATGCATCACTGTAAAAGGTCTACAGGACAAAACATTGTGCTTTTGTAAAATAAAGAAAACAAATAGGATGTGGCTTTCTGCCATTTGAGTTTCCTTTATTTGAAAAAATTAAGCGCGTCACAAAAATGAACTGAAACTCAGCATATATAAGCTACGTTACGTGTCGCACAGTTTTTTCCCCTTGTTTATCTGTTAACTAAATCAAATATATTTCAAGAATTTATTCCTTGTATGTATATATGTACTGCAAATTTTATATATATAACATTATAATTTAATATAATATTTAGTATTTTCACATCTAGGTGGAAAAAATTGTAATTTGTACTACTGATTGTTCAAAATAAATGAAAAGAAACCTAGCATAGTAGATTTGTTGTTTTTTTATTGTTGAACCAAAATCGTATCGAACCGAGGTACGTACTGAACCGTGACATCTGTGTACTGTTACACTCCTAATAAAAAACACTAGAAACATTTTTTAAAATATCTCCTTTGTTTCAAATCAATTAAAATAAGTTGGGAACGACGTGAAAATGAAAGCTATCCCTTTACAGCCAGAAATATGCTTTATGCA